TCTCAAACTTCTTTCAAGGGAGGCTGTCTCGAGGCATTCTGCTACAATGAATAACGATGGTCTTGGATTGCTTTATAGGAAAGACTAAGGTCTTTGACATAATTTTATTTTTTTTAAAGTTTATTTATTTTGAGAGAGAGAGTGTGAGTGGGGGAGGGCCAGACAGAGGGAGAGAAAATCCCAGAGAGCCAGAGAGAGAGAGAATCTACACTGTCAATGTAGAGCTGGGGCTGGAACCCACAAGCCCTGATATCATGACCTGAACCAAAATCAAGAGCTGGATGCTCAACTGACTGAGCCACCCAGGTATCCTGACATAATTTTAACTTTTTTTTTTTTAGCTTTTTCTGTAAATGGTGCTTATTGCCATTTATCTATAAGGAAAATTAACAAATCACAAACCAATTAATGGAAAAAGTCAGAAATAATCAATATTGCTTAGTTCTATAGTGTTTTTTTCCCCAACATTTTTGGGGTAAAGTTTCAAACTTACAGAAAAATATAAAAGAATAATACAATAGGCACCAGTATAATCTCAACAACCTAGATTCAACAACTACTAACATTTTGATTTTCTCTGTTTCTTTTCTCTCCTTCCTCCCTCTCTCTCTAAATAGATTGATAAATATTTGGTTATATGGACTTTTTTTTTCTAGAACCATTTTATAGTAAATTACAGATGTGATATTTCATTTCTTAAATACTTAAGCAGGTAACTCCTAAAAATAGGGGCACTCCTCTGTATAACTAATAAAATTATTATACCTAAAAGTTAGTAACTTTGTAATAACTCTTATCCAGGTCATATTAAAATTTCCCTAATATGTTTTCCTGGTCTAGGGTCCAATAAAGGCCCAGGCATTACATTTGGATATTAGGTTTCTTTAATCTCTCTCTCTCTCTCTCTCTTTTTTTTAATGTTTACTTATTTTTGAGAGCAAGAGACAGAGAGAGTGCAGGCAGGGGAGGGGCAGAGAGAGGGAGAAAGAGAATCCCAAGCAGGCTCCACACTTACTGCAGAGCCCGATGTGGGGCTCAACCTCATTAACCAACTGAACCACCCAGGCGCCCCTTTAATCTCTTTAAAAATAGACCATTTCTCCTACCTTTTTTTTTTTCTTTTTAAATAGAAATTAATTTTTTGAAAAATCCAGGCTGGTTACTTTGTAGAATGTCCCATTGTCTATTTCCTGCAGTAGTTAACTTGCACCTTTCCTGTTGTGTCCAATATAGTAGCCACTAGCCACATACAGGTATTTAAATTCAAATTTAAGTTAATTAGGATGACATAAAGTTTCAGTAGGTTGGTGGTTACTGTATTGGATGGTACAAATATACAACATTTCTATCATTCTAGGAAGTTCTAGGGGCGCCAGACTGGTTCAGTCAGTGGAACAGTCAGTGGGACTCTTGATCTTGGGTTGTAGTTCAAGACCCACGTTGGAAGGCAGTTATGCTCACCACTATGCTACCAACACTAGACCCACGTTGGGAGTATAGATTACTTAATAAACGTTTAAATTTTTTTTTAATTTTTTAAATGTGGAGCTCGAACTCAAACTGAGATTGTGACCTGAACTGAAGTTAGTCGCCCAACTACTGAGCCACCCCAGTCCCAATAAATAAAAGTTTTTAAAAATATAAAGAAGTTATTGGGGTGCCGAGGTGGCTCAGTCGGTTAAGTGTTTAACTCTTGATTTCTGCCCAGGTCATGATCTCATGGTGTGAAATTGAGCCCTGTGTTGGGCTCTGCACTGATTATGGAGCTGGCTTGGGATTTCCTTTCTCCTCTCTCTGCCCCTCCCCCACTCCCCACTTGTTCTCTCGCTCTCTCTCAAAATAAATAAACATTAGCAAAAAATACAAATGCTGTTTAAAAAAAAGTTCTATTGGACAGTGCTATAAGCCTATATTTCCTGTAAACTGGAAGTAGTCTACAGCCTTTTTAGATTCAGGGTAAACATTTTTGCAAAGAAAACTTAATAGATGACATAACGTACTTCACATTATATCACCCTGGAGCCATATCAGGTTAGAGTGTGTCACTATTAATTATGCTGGGTTGGGGATGCCTGGGTGGCTCAGTTGGTTAAGCATCCGACTTCGGCTCAGGTCATGATCTCACAAGTTCGAGAGTTTGAGCCCTGCCTGGAGCTCTGTGCTGACAGCTCAGAGCCTGGAGCCTGCTTCAGATTCTGTCTCCCTCTCTCTCTGCCCCTCACCCCCTCACATTCTGTCTCTTTCCCTCTCTCTCAAAAATAAACATTAAAAAAAAATTTTTTTTTAAAGATTTAAATTATGCTGAGTTGGGTTGCTTGGTTAAGGTGGTAACTGCTGATGTCTCTAAAATATAGAAGTGCAGGGGCGCCTGGGTGGCTCAGTGGGTTAAGTGGCTGACTTCAGCTCAGGTCGTGATCTCGCGGTCCGTGAGTTTGAGCCCTGCGTCGGGCTCTGTGCTGACATCTCAGAGCCAGGAGCCTGTTTCAGATTCTGTGTCTCCCTCTCTCTGACCCTCCCCTGTTCATGCTCTGTCTCTCACTGTCTCAAAAATAAATAAAACGTTAAAAAAAAAATTAAAAAAAAAAGCTCAGAATTAAAATATAGAAGTACATTTTCCCTTTGTAGTTAGTAGCATCTGGAGATGACATCAAAAGTCTCAAAATAGTTTTTCCTGATATTTATTATGGCATTTAGCATTTCCTCAGTTAGGTACTCATCTTAAACCATACTAGGTTTTGGTATTTGAAATAATGATAAAAAAAAATGGACTCTGTCTTAGTGTCTACAACTTATAGACAATAGTGGACACATAAAAACTGTCTAAGAATATGGGGCGGCTGGGTAGTTCAGTCAGTTAAGCATCCAACTTCAGCTCAGGTCATGATCTCCCAGTTTGTGGGTTTGAGCCCCGCATCAGGCTCTGTGCTGACAGCTCAGGGCCTGGAGCCTGCTTCAGATTCTGTGTCTCCCTCTCTCTCTGCCCCTCCCCCCCTCTCAAAAATGAATAAACGTTAAAAAATTAATTTAAAAGACAGTCTAAGAATATAAAGTAACAGGAAGTGCAAATGAGTATGGTTGAAAAACCAAGAGAAGTGAATCCGGGATTATAAGGTAGAGCCTTAGTAGGGAAAACAGATTTGGTTCAGGATTTGTAGAGGTGAGTCTGGGATGGCATTGTGCAAAAAGTGACAAAGACAGAGAAAGGGGAAGCGATGGTAAGTGAAAGCACAGGGTGAGAAATGAGTAAATCGCACACCAAGGAAAGCTTTCATCTTAAATGACCAAAATTTGAAAAGAATATCCCCTGGCATCAATCAAGTTTCTGGAGAGCTGAGGTTTGAGAAGTGACTACCTGAGAAAACAAAATGGCTTCCAAGGCAGTGGTTCCCAGCCCTAGTTCCCTAAATGACAGGGAGCTGGACAGCTAGTTGTTCCTCGTGTTTCCCAAAACCTAAATAAAACTGAACATTTGCTAGCAACAGTGCTGCCCAACTATATAAAAAACATTGGCTTAAAAGCAAAACAAATGTGCTTTGTAAAAAAATTCAAGCAGAAATATATAAAAGTAAAAGGTTTAACGTGCACATGCGTGTACATACACACACAGCCCATTATGCCAATTCACTACACCAGAATAACTAGACTGATTTGGTGAATATAATGCCAGAGCAGAGCTTTTTCTAAACATTTGCAAATGTATGCACAGAAATATTAGCTCATATCGTTGGGGGTATGGCTGTATCATGATTTCACCTTTCCCTTTATGATAGATATTCAGATTGTTCCCAGTTTGCCCTATTACACAATGCTTAATTGAATATCATTGCATTTGTTTCTTGCTCAAGTGCCTTTAAAGCATTTTTGGTATAGAAAATCAATATATTAATTCTAGTAATTTCATGAAAAAATAAACTAATTACTGAGCTTATGAATATAGTTTGGTAGGAAAAGTATCTCCAGACTGTTCCATGGAGGTGGGAGAAGGGACATGAAGGGTGTTCGGTGCTGCCCAAAGGGGACACTACAGCAGTTTGTCTTGGTCCTCATTCTTCGCAGTGA